GGTATTACCGTGATCGGTATGATATGGCCCAGCCCTAGTTAACAACTTAAATTCAAATAGCAAACACCTCCAGGACACTCACATTCTGGTGTTGGTGGTTTTGTTGATCACCACCGACTTCCCACTGGGGTCCACGTTGTGATCCATGCCGAAGTAGGCCGCCACTCGATGTAACAGCATCCTGTGGTAGGGCGTCATGGGTGGGAACTTTCTCTTTTGACTTCTACAGGTAAACACAAAGAAATTACAACATTACAATTAACACAAAAGGTGCCAACGCCAGGTTCAATGAGTGGGGGGATTAAAGCTGCATTCAGCATCCTGAATAGATGTCATTTTTGGGGCTGTTTTGCACTTCAGAGGTCACTGTGGGGACACTCAAAGCCCTCTATCTCTGGTTAAATGTGTTTAACTCAGTAAAACCAGGTGCTCTGGTGCGTTTGGTAAGGACAGGAAGTGCTTTTCATTTATTTCTTACTCATTATTGCTGATGAAATCCAAGATGTCCTGTTCCAACTTCAGCAGCATGATTCGATCCCTAGGAAATGAAACAGACAAGACCGTCTGAGGAGTCAGTATATCTTTCCATTTCTCAGGTTATCCCTCTGTACATGTCTGCTAATATGTTTGTCATAGGACAGGTCACACCAGAAAGAGTCACAGCAAGTTGAAGTTGTGTGTCTTTACACAATGTTTACATTTTATTGATGTAGTCAAGTAGACATTAAGAATGTTAGCTAAATGCTAACACTGTAGCTAGCAGGGAAACAGTGGCTGTATTAATTATTCAAGAACACAGAATCAGTTTTGCTCTTCGTTTAGTAAAACATGAACTAATCATTTGTTTTGCTCAAAATCGATGAGCAAAATTATTTCAGCGATCTATCTTTGCTTAAATTAGAGAACAACAGTCAGTGTGGCTGAAAAGAAAACAATTCCTGATCTTTTGAAAGACCACCGTTCTGTTGTTTCAGCAAGCAAGGTACATGCTAACGCAAATCACTTATAAATGCTCTCTAAAGATTGTGTTTATTTTTCCTGCTTGTGCCTTTTCCCTCCAGAACATTTTGTTATGGGACTCTACAGAAACTCATGTTTACTGAACCCTTGTATATTTGTAACACTGAATCATGTCTCATGACTTCTGTGCAGCAGAGGAGGTTACATAAAACGGGTCAGCGTGACACACGAACTAATAACAGCTACAACGGCTTCCTCCATTTTGGACTTAGCACTGCCGAGGTAGAAATCCCCAGCACAGACAAAGCTACCAATATTATAATATCTCTGCAAGTGAAAACATACGTAACATAAAACCACACTTCAGATTTTACATTTTGCCATGACTGGTCTGCGAGCCCCTGACATTCAATATTTAACACCAACTTTTTCACGTATCCTAAACTCACCTGGGGTTGCCCTTCAGTTTGTTGACCAGGAACTCATGGAGATCTATCCCAGTTGAATCTGTATAGTCTTGACTGGAATCTGATAAAAGGAGACACACACCCCGATTCACTGAACGAGGCTAACGCCTAACAAATCCAACCAAACTAACTTTACCAGAGTGTAATTTTCTTGCAATGAATAATAAGATACTTAAAATGATGCACTCTGTCAACTATCCAAATTAATGACAGTTAAAGAAATTTGTAATATTAATATGCAAATTAGTCACCTATTCGTGTGGGAAAACCTAAAAAGCCAAACTGCACGCCTGACACAGGAAACCATCACTGAGGGTGACATCGTTCAACGTGATGCCGTTTGATTGGTTATTAGTGGGACTGATATTTAGGAGGGGGGAGGGGGGGATCTGCTGCCAGCTTGTATGAAGCTGTGAGCACTGCCAGCATTTAAGAAATGAAGAAGTGGTCGGGTAACAAAGTTGACAATGAAAAACATGTTCCTGTGCACCAACAAAAGAATTAGACTCGTGAGTGGGAGTCGAGGGGGACGCTGGAGCCCAATCCCCTTAGTGGGTGTCTGGTTTCTATAATTGGAGGCTGCCTCATCAGTGGTGTCGCTCCACAGAGGGAAGCAGACACCTTTATGCGCCTGTGGGAATCCATATAATTGCTTCACACCTTGAGCTTGTCGCAATTAACTGAATCACGCCAATTATTGGCCTATAATGAGATATCATTTAAAATGGAGAAGTGCTTTTGGACAAACTGGAGGACACAGAGCCAGAAAAAAGAAAGGTGGAGGATTGGATATTCCTGGTGACATGGTAAAGGATATAATTATTACAAGAATGTAATTTGGCTGAGTGACACGGATTGTGTGATAAGTATCATTAACGCATTTGGCTTCATTTCAATAGTTTGCCAATGACACTCTCACCACAGTGCTGTCACGGCTTGTCTTCACATGTATGTGTTTCCTTTAGTTTGTTTCTATATATAAACTCACATTTTTGGAGCAATGTTTATAAACGAGGCCTCAGGTGTTTAGGATATAAAGAAAAGCTAAAGCGTTGATGGAAACGGTGACAGGTCTTCATTTTGAAGTGTAACTGGAGCGTAGATATTCGTTTCCAAAACGGCAAAAACAAACATTTCTCACCTCTCGACAGCATTTTTTTCTGCGTTTTCTCTGGTTTGTCCGCCTTGTCGTAGTTTTCTTCTTTCTCGGCTTGGACTTGTGCAGCTCGTTCTTCCTTTTCAAAGGGCTGGAGTAGGAACCCATCCTGTTCACACAGGAAAATATAACTGAGGAGCTGCGTGAAACCAGGTGGTTTGCAAGGAAAAAGAAATAGGAAAACTGAATGCCCCGCAAATGCTAGATGTGACCGTGAGCAGACATGAGACCTTAATCTAGAAAAGGGCGTCAAACACAAGCATTTAATTCTGGGTTAATTACAGAATAGGACGACCACTGTAATGGAAACCTGTTTACTTGGAAGTAAAGGTGTTTCAAATAACTAAGAGACAGATTAGCTTGTTTTTCTTAAACCACCTGAACAGAACTTGAGTTGGAGGCTGAAATTAAACAAGGCAGCATTTCCTTCCTTACGATCCAGCAGAAAGAGGTTTTAGCTATAATCCCCCTCCAACTGGAAGAATTCTTTAAAATGACTGTGTGGATTTTCATTTTATTTAAATCTATTTAACATGGCCTTGGTTTACCTCAGTCATACTCTTCTCCACTACACACACATTCAGAGCAGTATCTGATTTGCTTTTCAGGCAAGGCTGAAAGGGAAGTTGAACAGTGGAGAAGAACTGCCAGCGCTCTGTAAGTGGATTACACACAACTGTGGAAAGCTAACATCAGAGAATCTGTGAGAGCGAGATGAATGAACGAGAGCGAGCGAGGGGTGACCTAGCGTTGGGAGAGCAGCTCATAACCGAGAAAGGTCACAAGTTTGGATCCCTGTAACAGCTGCGGAGCAAGATAATGAGACGCCGCGTTCGCCTTCGTTTTAAGACGCTCCGAATGTATGTGAAAGTGTAATATGCTAATGAGAAACGTGGCTGACTAATTGCCTGAGCGAGACTGGGGAAAAAGCGAAAATGAGTCTAGGATTGTGTGCTGTGGAAGTGACAGCAAGTTCAAGCGCGTGTCTGTGTGTGTTCGTCTGGGTGGGTTTGTCAAAGCAAAAACATTTTTCCCCCCTCCCGGTGAGAAGCGCTGATGTTTGCTGCTTAATGCCACCCTCGGCATCACATGGAAGCCGCCTGGTTGATGTGCAGCTGTTGCGAGCTGCCTCATTTGTTTCCTGACATCCATTTACCTCGAGATAAAGGGAAAACAGCGTGAAAATGATGGTCTTGTGAATATATAATGAACATGCTGTCACTCGGAGACAAAAAAAACCTGAAAAAAAAAAAGTGCATTCAGAGCCCCCCCCACCCACCCCCGAATATTGGCCATTGATTGGAGCTGACAAGCGGGCCAACAATGTAAGGGCAGACGTAGATTTTTGTTTTTCCTACAGAAAGCAGCGACGTCTTGGACTGTCCACAGATCCACACGGGCCTTTGTTACTACCTGACAGTAGAGACAGTAATGTGAAACTGTGAACAATGGGACAAGCTTGGATTGGATGATCATAAGAGTTTGATTGAGAATCAGCACTCATACTAATGTGTTTTCCCCCCTTCTTTCTCTCCTTATTGCATTACCTCACCCCTCTAGGTTAGTTTGTCGCAGAAGGAGTCTCGACTCCGGGGGCGATAACGGGAGCAGGGGAAATATCAGGAGTATTCAATTAGAGCGTGCCACAGCTCTCTGTAGCTGACGTGTGGAAATTGTAATTTCCTCGACATGATTGATGACAGTAATACAGGACATCGTGTGAGTGCAGACGATGCGAGACCGTTGTGGGAATAACACCGCCCTCTGGTTATGGAGCTCGGTGCTGACTGGCTGAAATGCCTGGAACAGATACACCTGTGTGTAAATGTGCGTGAGCGTGTGTCTGCCAGGAGCTGTGCAGAGCGGCATGTAATGGGTAAAGTTTGACGGGAGGGGGCTTTTGCCCGGAGATATGGCGCAAAAGAAGCGGCGATTTAGCAAAGCAGCAGCTGGCTCGCTGCTGGAGCTCCGCGCTTTCTGTTTTGATGATGTGATGTTTTCATCAGACGGCTGCAGCCAGGTATTTAATCACAGCTGTCAGATGAAGGCCGCTAATCAAGCATCAGAGGTCCATCTACTCAATTGTAATGGGCTGAAATGAAGAACTGATCCCAGGTCAGCACTTTCAAGGCAAGTGGCCCTGTAGCTTAACAAGCTGGGCTGAGGCATCAGACTACATTAAACTGGGCTTGATGAAACATGAATTCACAGTGACTTACAGTCTTTAAAGAGAGCACTTTGCTCTTTATTAACAGAGTATGCTTACAATTATAACCTATGCTAGAATTAAACTTTATATATCTTCATATGAGGCTCTAGATATACTATGATTTATAGCTTACATGTGGGAAAGTTATCCCAATTATCTCTTTGGATATCAATAAAACCAAGATTGGTAAACTTCTCTCTTAAATTTATCTCAAACTAAAAATATTTCAGAACAATTTGTTGCTTTTTAAGTTTAAACAGGGCCTATTACGCTATTTACCACTGTATTTTTACCACTGGACTGTACTAGAATAAGTTTACAGGACAAACAGTTCAAAATAATGTACTTATTCCTAATCCTTACAACAGGGCCTTGGTGCAAGCCCTCAGTTTTCATCCTGTTCTTTTTTGTGATTCACATGCAGAGCTGTCTGAGATGACCATATTAGGGTTGACCACTTTCCATGACATCACGCAGAGCTGACAACAGCGAAAACTGTCTGAACTCGAGCATTTACGCAGCCTGAAGAATGGTGAACACAGACTTCTGTGAAACCTGCTTTATGTTTACTAGCATCCAGTATCCACCTGTTACAGAAAATAACAGGAAGTATAATCAATCCACCTCACCCCTAAAGGGCCACACAGGAAGCAACTAGCTGTGGTGTGGCAACCAAAGACCATAGACCAGGCTTGGCCAACTCCAGGCCTCGAGGGCCGGTGTCCTGCAGGTTTTAGAGCTCACCCTGGTTCTACACACCTGAATGAAATGATTAGTTCATTACCAGGCCTTTGGAGAACTTCAAGACATGTTGAGGAGGTCATTTAGCCATTTAAATAATCTGCGATGGCTCAAGGACACATCTAAAACCTGCAGGACACCGGCCCTTGAGGCCTGGGTTGGGACACCACTGCCATAGACATTAAATGACAATATGCGATGACAAAGTTGCTTTTATGTCAACAGATCAATGAATAAATCAAAAAGGATCAAGAAGAATCAAGTTAGGAGTTATTAATGAAGTTACCTCCATGTGTCAGGAATGTGTTCAACTCTCTTTGCTCTGAAGAAAGACCTCCAGAAACAGCTGAAAGCAACAAGCTAACCTGAGCTCTTAAAGCTCTGTCAAAACCAGCATTATTTTCACTACTAGTGAACCCTGTTAATCTGATCTGTAACAGTCTCTTTAAGTCATGGTGAAGACTTCAGTGTAATGAAATTTCTAAAGTGTAGTTTAACTGAATGAGGAAAAACTAATGAGAGGAGTTTGTTGAAGCACTGTGTGTGGGCTCCATACACGCTGCAATCTTGTGAGTGCCTTTATGTTAATGTAAAAACATAAAATCAGACTCGTGCTGACCTCAGAGCGATGAGTAAATGTTACAAGGTCTAAATTGGCAAGACTGCCGCCACAACTTTGCAACAGAAAAGAGATCCGAGTGCCAGGACAGGACAGGAAGTTGACGGCCTTATTTTTAAACTTACCGGGTCAACAGACCTTTGCTAGGTGAGAATGATGATCTGATCAAGCACAGTTCTACAGGGCAGCAGCTATATGCAAGCTCCTAAATCTAAGTGTAAAGGCAATGAACTGTCTCACACTTACTACACCAAATACAGCTGATAGGGATGAAACCAGCCTGCGCGGATAAATGTGTGCGTACAATCCTGAAGCACAGAGTTGGGTGATTTTCTTCATAATCCGATCGCTCTGTTGTGGATAACAGATACCATTGCTGCAGGGGCCCGGGGTTAATGTAGCGCTATCCACCTTCCATTTACACGCACACGCACACACACACACGCACACACACACACGCACGCACGCACGCACGCACACACGCACGCACGCACACACGCACGCATGCACACACACACACACAGGCACACACACGCCAGTGAAAGAACGAGGCACTCGCATGCTGGCGAGTTTATTTCCCATTATCAGCGTGAAGATAAAGAGCATAAGCTGCAGCAGTGGGAGAATTTCGTTCACATACAGCTATAAATGGTTTAGCCTGCTGCAATTAGTGAACCTAAGTGGACGGATATCAGCTAAACGGCTAAAATGGTATGAACTAATTCGCCTGCCTCTTTTTAACCATTTTTCTTTAGTTGTAACTCAATCAGTTATAAAAGGCTCACTAACACACATGCGCCCGTGAAACAAAGTTGAGGAGACAGACTAGCATCTCTGCAAAAGCACAGCTTCGTTCTTTCTTATTTAGCATTAAAGAAAAATTCCTTCTGACACGACGGTCAGCAGAACCATTAGTTGTTACCAAGTAGGTTGACTTGCTAATATTAGCTTAGTGTGTTAGCACTAGGGTGGGCATGTGAGACCCCTGTGTTTTCATTTGACCTCATCATGGAAAAATGCCATCTAAAAACAGCTACAATTACAATAAAAATGAACAAACTGTTCGTGATACTACTCAGGTAGTGCCACAATATATGGTCCAAACTGGCACGCCTCTAATGTGCAACGCTGGTTTCATGGAGGTCTTTACCTGGGGTGCTGCTGAAGGCTCAGGAATAGGGCAAGGAAACGACTCTTCACACACCGCCAGGCTCCGCACGAGCTTTAGCCTGGTGTTGGACTAAGGGGGTAAGGAGAGGGGTGCAAGTAGGTGGGCACAGTTAAATCCATGCACATACATACCTGTGTCAATTTCATCACACATCACAGTGACAAGCCAAAGTGAAACAGCCAGCGAGCACAATCAATTCTTACGAGCATGTCATACAGATCCAATAATTCACATTTCAGCAGACACAAGTTTTCCCCGAGTGACTAAGCTTTTCATTGCTAAGATTGTAGCTTCTTATAACTTCTCGAATAACCTGATCAGAGGGAACTTAAGTTTAAAAAAAACAAAAGGGAAAAAAAACCCTCAAGCTTTCTCACATTTTTCTACAGGAAACATCAATGCAGCAAGCACAAAGGAAACGTCCAAACTAGCCGTATTCTCATTCATAATTCACATCACAGCCTCTGCTATCAGTCATGTGACGGCTTCTCAACACATTGCAGCAAAGTCATTTCAGACATCTGCGTGACAGGTAACACGGGTACAACTTCCATCTCAATCCAAGCAAACAACGCAAGTCAAGTGCACGAGACAGGTCGGAGCATCCGTGCGCAACATGCATGTCGAGAGTACCGTACCTTAGAGTACTTCACAGGCTGTCCACAGGTAGGGGAGGGGGTGCAGGGAAAGGAAAATGAAATCAAACAAACCACAGATGCTTGGAAAAAAAAAAAAAAAAAAGGGAGGGGGAAGACTTTTTTTTTTTGGGGGGGGGAAAGAAAGTAACAAATGATATTTGAATTAAATATGAGTGCCCTACATTTTGTGCATGGGTGCACTTCTAGAGCTTGAGCAACTCCAAACAATTCATAGGTTTCAGTTTCTATGATGTCTTTTTAATGTCTGTTCGCAGGCTGAAGAAAAAAAAAACAACTTAAAGAGCACAGAACAAAATGTGTCTGCGAGTCTGCGAAAATAAAAGATATTAAATGAAAATCTCAAGTTAAGCAATCACCGTTTTTATATTAGCACTCCATTTATACAGCATGTGTGGTCGTTTTATCTAATGCTGCATCCCATCATCATCATCTGCTATATGAACCCCTGAATTACTGCACTCAGTCTTTGATGCTGTTCGGTCTCATTTGACTGAACTTAAGCTGGTGTTAAAAGTATATGCTGCTCTCAAACAGCATCTAATCTTTCTGAAACTGCGCTAGGGGCTGAAGTCGAGATGGTCATAATATATTTAGGCGTGATAACTGACCAGAGCGTGTCGTTTAAAATGCTCACTGAAAACCTCATGTTTAAGATGAAATTTGCTTCTTTTTTTTTTAAAGGAGTAAATCCCATTTCATCCCTCAGGCAACTTTTTTCTTTAACCCTTATTGGATTAGAGTGATCTGCTCATCAGGAAACACCTAAAGTAGCTGGATATTGAGTGGTTACAGAAAGGGGATATACCCCTGTTCTTTGTATGCTGCTGCTCAGTGGGCGTCTACATGGTTCGAGTTTCTCTCACTGATTGGCTCATAAAGATAAATCTCAGTGGTTCTCGCACATACCCTCACTTGGGTGGCCTGGGTATATTCATAACCGTCCAAGTTTATTTTTGTTTGAGGCTGCTGATTGCATTGTTATCGTGGATGAACTAAACAAAATCAATCTACTTTTCAAACTATTCCCGTCTTATTGTGAAACTTCAGTTGTTGCAAACCAGCTAGCTCCAGTCTTTACAGTCTAGCATTAGTGATAGTCTTTATAGTCCAGGCTGTAATTGTTGCTGGTCTCGATGTCAATCAGCTTTTTTCAGTCTCTCTTCTCACAATTAGACAGACTACAACTTGAAGAGCAGCTGGCGATGGTGGTCCTCGTTCCAACACGAGCTTAAGGGCCAATCTAAGCAGAAACCAGGCTAACCAACCACCAAGGCTGAAGAACGTCCAAGCTGATGAAGCTGAAGTCTGTCCAAAGAAGAGCATACGGCAAAAGCAGCAGCCTTGCAGCCAATTCAGTGACAAAATATAGGTTTTGGCTTTTTTTATTTATTTATTAATTAATAAAAACATTTAAATATGTACCCATACTCGTTATATTGTTTGCCTTGCTATATCACAAATATGATGTGATGCTAAGGGAAACACTCACTCTGTCCTTGGACTGGTTCATTTTTCCTTTTTGCTGGAACAATCTACAGAAAGACTGAAATGGTCACATCTGACTAAAATCTGTGAGAATCTGCATCAGCTTAGTGACTGCACTGAAGTTCTGACCTTGATACGTTATCTCCAAATTCTGCACTATTGTGTGTTCATTATTGTTAAAGTGTCTGCTCAACCCTTGGCCAAATCACAGACTTTCTCTGGATAAATAATGGATAGATAATCATTTACTGGGAGCAATGAATTAATTTCTGGATAGCATATGCTACCAAAGTGGCTGCACTGCAGGACCCCTTCCTTTCACACACACGCACACACTCTCTCTTAGCAAGATGCCGCAGAAAACAAAAGCCAGACATTTGGCTGTGAGGGATTCGGGTCAGTTTTGTTCGTTGCTCCATTTAGCTGTCATGTGAAAGCAGGCGCTGGATGTAAGGTGCAGAAAGCAGAGAGAGGCCGCCCGCCTACTAGTGTGTGAGACAGCTCGGTGCCTCTGCGCTTCACGCACTGGTGGCTCTCTCTGTGTGTGTGTGTGTGTGTGTGTGTGTGTGTGTGTGTATAAACAGAAGGTCTCTCAGTAGCACGTAAAGGGAAGAGCGGAGGAGGGAAAAGGTAGGGAGGGGGAGACCTGGCAGGAGCCATTTCAGTGTAAATTGTAACAGAGCCCAGTCCTCTGTTTCCTAATCCCAACACACACACACACACACACACACACTAACGCTGTCCTTCCCACCTGTCCTCTAAAAATCAAAAGGACAACCTATCCCCTCCCTCACTGAGCTCGAGGGCCGCTGTTCGCCTATTTCCAACGCCTGTGACCTGCCGTGCCCCTTTTCTATATCCGGTAATATGGATGTGGAGGAGAGGGTAGCGGGGGTGGAGGGTGGTCAGGGACCGTGAGCGCACCGCTTCACCGGCTAATTGAGCGGTGTGGGGCCGGTGGGGAATGAACAATGCCGCCAGGAGATAAAGGAAAGGGAAAGCGGGGGGAGAGAGGGAAAGGGCTGAAGTCAGCAGAAGTAGGGCGGCCACCAGCCACCTGTCCTGCCGCAGAGGACAGAGCTGGAGAGCTGGAGGCAGATGGTGGCAAAGTCACCCTCTTTTACCTCTGTCGGAACGCATTCCTGCCCCCCGATGCCGCCATACCCACCCCCGCCTCGCCTCGTTTAAGGTACCGCTGTCGCCTCCCTCATTTCTTCCCCCACCCGTTCCTCTCACAATGAACATTTCAGGCATTTAACCGATGCCCTTACACAGAGCAGCGGAATTAGCTTCACCTCCTCCACCGCTGGAAATTACAAGCGGAAAGGTCGGCTGTGTCAGTGCCGTCAGCATATCCCGGCATTCCAGTAACCATAAAATCACTACGTCAGGGAGAGGAAAAGGTAAAAAAGAAAAAAAGAAAATAACACACAAAACAGAAAAAGCAGCACAATCGCAAGTAGCCTACATTTGTAGAGGTGACATGAAGCAGAGTCACTCAGCTAATGGTCATACCAGACCACACAATGCTACAGCAGCAAAATATATGAGTGGATGAACTGGATTGTACAATTGGACCAAGTTACTGCTTATGAAGTCAACTTTTTAATCCAAAAAGAGCATTTTGGGCTTCAAAAGCTGCCTTCTAGTTACAAACATAGTCAATACTTTGGCTAAATATATTTTGGGGGTTTTGAGCTGATAGCTGAAATTCTTTCTTTGTTGTGGTGGATTAAAATAATTTAAGGAGGAGAAATCGTCCCTCTACTTTCATCTTCTTGCTACTTTCTTGTCTCGCCTCTGCTCTCCTTTCTTTCCTTCATTCTCCAACACCGTGTCTCTCGTGTTCTTCCACCTTCTTCCTCTCCCTAATCCTTCCTTCTTACAACCTCTCCACACGTCTCTCCCTCCCTCTTCCTCCTGTATCTCCTCCTCTCTCCCATGCTGCTTCCCCCATGCTGGTGTCATTCTGTTCCTCAGGGTAACATAGGCGCAGGAAGTTGGAAGATAAGCCTGGATTTGAGCTCCGATTATCTGCCTGCCTGACTCCCTCGCGCTCCCCTCCTCCAACCACAAGGCCAGATTGGCCTGAATCCTATTTTTAGGCAGCAGCCAAAGAGACAATCCTTCGTCTTTCCTGGATTTTGCTTCTTTGACCACACAAGAAGAGATTTCACAGTTTCACCATTTAGATTTTAGTGTGCATTCCTCTGTGAGGAAAACCTGTCAGAGCCAGTTTTTGCTCTAAATTAACAAATGCTAATTTTTTGCACCCCCAAAGCACAATGTTGCAATGACAAAGACCTTATTAATTAGCAGTTTATGTCAAAGTGTTCTCAGCTCTCCTGAAGCCTCAGTAGATAACCAGTTTAATGTCTCCTGTGGAAGATCCGTGACTTCTTAACAACTTTAACAATTCTCAGCAGCCAGGTAGACAGCAGTGAAGAGTCTCACTATGACTGACCTCAGTGCTGCTGAGGCAGAGTTGAACCCTGCATTATTATTTCTGTCTGCGCCGATTATACATTTCAGAAATAATATTTCCTCGCTGAAACGGCTGGGAGTGCCGCAGGTGACAGAAGATGCCCAGGGCAGTTGGTGTTCGGCGTTGACTGCTACTGAATTTTCATGGAAACGAGGTGTGGAAAAGAAACGACAGACTTTGCTGAAGTTGTCAGGTAAGTGTCCTCAGCTTATTGAGGCTCCAGTCTACCAAAACACTGTGAAACTGACACTTCATTTCACATTAGTGCTCATTCAATTCAACTTTATTTATACAATGCTTCAAGGCACTTTATCTCGTAAGGTAAAGATCCTATAGTATTCTGGAGGAGACCTCTACAAGCAAGTACTCTGCTACTTTGCAAGTACAACCTGATAATAATGGACCACTGTACTCCAGCCTAAGTAATGAAAACATGAGCTAGTTTTTCAGCATCAGCCCTAGAAAGTATGTTTTTACATGTTAGAGATATTCAGCAATTTATTTAACATCTGCATTGAAGGACACGATCAAAAATGCCTCCCAAGATTTCTCAAAGTCTTTTGGATGCTAAGTTAATGCCATGATCCAGAGTTAAGTATTTGTTTCCAACTTTTCTGTTCTGAGAAGAGTATAATGTATAAAGCAGTGGTACCAGCACAGAGCCCTGTGGAACCCTGGCTAACTTTCATGTTAGCACACATCTATGATTCCAATTATTGCAGTGCATTTCCTTTAATACCAATCTCTGTAGTGAAACACTGTAATCATTGGGAGAAGCACAGATATGAGCTCACTGTGAGAAGAAAGTCATTTCTAACCTCCACCTGTCCCATTTCTGTATTATCCAGAAATCTTTTAACAACTACTCTTTCAAGAACAATTGAAATGAAAGGATTTTGGATATTAGTCCATAACTAAGAGACCTGGATCAAGTAAAAGATTTTTAAGTAATAGTTTAATTCAAACCATTGAAACGGAAAACTGTGCAACCCTAAAAGCCTGTCATACGCAACCTTTTTGATAAAGATAAACCGATCGTATTAAAAAATGTAACATCTATTAATGGTAAATATTTTTGAACACTGTCGTAGGAATGGGGTCTAATAGACATGTTGAGGATCTAAAGGAAGAAATTACTTCAGATAGTTAGTTATAACGCTTATAAATGTTTTATTTGTGAAGAAACTCATGAAGGCTCTGATTCTTTGTCAGTCTGGTTGTAGTGCTGAATGTTTGACTCCCTGCTATTAGTAACAAACTTTTGCTGCTTTCTTTTTGTAGTCACAGTATCCAGAGTCGTACGCGATGAGGATATAATGCTACTGACAAGATAATCTACTCAGGTATCTGCTCTGCACTGTGTTTGCACATGGCAGGAACACTTCTTTACATTTCATTACAGCACTTTCACAGAAACACCCGGTGTACCAAAACAGTGTTTCTATCGCTGTGCAGTCCATAATTCTAAAATTAAACATTACAGTCACACAGATATGGAAGAATTGTTACTGACACGTTTTAAGGTTGAACATAAATCAGCATTCTTTACCTGTATGTCCTTTTTATTGTTGCAACCATGTTCATCTCTGCTGTTCTGGCTCTGGTCAGACACCTCAGTCTTGGCGTCTTTCGCAGATGACGCGGGTTCGGCGGCTTCGGAAACCTTCATTGTTTCAGTGTCGACGTTATCAGACATTCTCATTGCAAAGTCTTACAGGGAGATGCTGGCAAATACAGAGGACCTGAAAGACAGGAATGTGTCGATGAGAGCTAGCATCTTTGGGAGAGAAAGAAGTTCGGATGATTATGCTTGAAGGGTAAGTTCCAAATAACAAGAAGCTAGACGCCATCATTTCAAAGTATTTTTATTAAATTTGAAACACAGATTATACAGAATTTTATTATATATTTTTTTTATTATATCAGCTTTTTAAAAACAACAACAGTAGTGGCTGATTCAGACACAAAAAGGTAAATTGGGCGTAGTGACAATTGTCTGATCTATTCAATTATGTTAACTTTGTGTGTGTTGTTCAATATAATGTGTCAGTAGCAGAGTACCATTTGCTAGCAGGAGAGCTAACATAGCATGGCTAAATCTAGAGGTACTTTACATTTTGTTAAACCAACAACTTTTTTACCTTTGCAATGGTGTCTTTTGTTGATTTTTTTTATTTTTTTTATTAACTGCAAATTCTGGTCAAGAGAGCTGACGTGGCAAAAAACTAATGCCAACACCTTTACAGACATATTCTCTCTCACTTTTCATCATGCTATGTTCATTTAAATTTTGATTCGAAAGATAAGTGTTAGAATTATTATCAACTGTTTACATACTAAATTAGTGATGGCATGCAATGACACTAAGATTCAGGAGTTGTAGAGACCTTCCTCAATCTTTACGCCGACTGGGAAAGACAAAAAGTTCACACAATTTTATTAATTATAAATAAAACATGAAAGAATTATCATTATCATCATCATTATTATCATTATTATTAAACACCATGGAAAAATGTGTACATTTAAAAAACATAAGGTAAATAACAACAGCATATAAGAGTATACAAAAGTAATAAGTGTATTAGTACTGCATTGTGGTACATTAAATTATTTCCTTTGTTGCAGTAGCTATATTCTGTGTCGTAATAAATAAAACTTACTTACTTTGTGTTATTAGATCAGATCCACTGCATTCTTGTCTAAAAAGTGCTGAGTAATGAAAGTTTGCCTCGTGGATATTATTTTGAAAAACAAAGCAACAATGCAGCAGGAGACATAACTGCACCGACTGTATGTGGGTGCAATATGGAGCCATACTGTAATTGACTTTGTCCATGATGGGTAGCTTGAGTTACTGCAGAACAAACATAGGTGTTACTAATAGTATTACTGGATGGTTGGAATTCAGCCATTAGTTCATTTTAAGTGGATTTGAGTTTGACAACCCAAGCACTTTTCAGACATGGATGTATCATATTGCTGGCTTCAGTTTGGTAAAACATCCAACATTTGTATGAAAGACAAATGAGCAATGTAAATGCATTTTCTTTGAATGAATTATTTTGGGTTTTTTTTTTAATCCCTCTTGTTTTAATGACCCGTTTGTAATGTTTCCATCTTCGTCGACTCCTTGCTGCGTAGCGAAATCGTAAAATAGTTCAAATAGATGAAAATAAAGTATTTTTTAAGAAAGTAATCATAATTTTGGTGAGCTGAGACACACAGCACATTAAATGTGCCTGCATGCAGTTTAGACATGTGTAGTGTTGAAAGTGATGCCAATTATTATGAGAGCAGACCTACTGAGATTTCCCCTGCAAATTCTCCATAAAAGAGACCAAACATAAAGCTGGCACATTTTGATAAATGTAAAAGACTGGATAAAAGGGCCAAAGAAAGTCTGCAGTGACAAAGAGCTATGCAGTAGCAGGCAGGAGAAAGAGGAGGGCAGGCGGTCGGTGGCACCAACACAGTCTGTGGTCATCAGTCATTACTTTTTCTTTGCGCTGTCTTGCAGCTCTGCAGCTGTTCAGCCCGAGACAATAGGCATGAGTGGACGAGATGCAGCAGGCGCACAGCTTAGTGCTGTAAGAAAACGCATTAATATTATAGTGTTTGTTTCAGTTTGAAGGGGGCTGCTTTAGAATATCAGCAAACACACTTTCTAGTTCCCACATAAGGATGTTTTTTTAGGATTAAACATAATACGGTGTGATTTACATTTTATATTATATTTTATAAAAGGATTTTACTCACGGATTTTTGTATTATATTATGTTCCAAAGAAGAATGCTGTAATTAAATCTTTGTTTGTAGTTATGCCCAAAGCAGGAACACTCCCATCGTGATAACAGCTGCAAAAGTTGGTAGGTGTGTTGTTAACGCAGAGCACGTGTTTACAGTCTAATGTGGCGTAGAGTAAAAAGTAGGCCTTTCAAAATAAAATGCCTCTTCGTGGTTGCTGATCCCAGAACATAAGTTGCCTTGGACCTATGGCCCACTGCAGGACGCATCTGTGTAATACCACGACCTCCCTGTGTTTTAAGTCATGGTGCGAGTTCATTCATGGTGATATGCCTTAATTGTACAGCTTGGTCCCATGCAGTGTGTAACATACACAGACTCACAAGAAGGGAGGGTAGACATCTGGTACATGAGAGCTATGATTAATAGGTTAATTAGAAATGGGCTCATCAAATTCACGTTGCACATCAAAAACTGGAAGCACACATCACAGCACTTACTCTGTGCTTGGGTGTGTACGTGACTGGCTGCGTGTGTGTTCAACCTATTTGCCCGCAGTGATCAGAGCAATTTTCCTATCTGATCACTGAGCAGCAAAGCGGCTGCCTGAGACTTGATTGTTTATATCCATCCCAAAAGAGCTGAGGCAGCAAGAGGGAGCTGCTCTCTTTAAAAACGTGGCATCCAATTCCTCCGTGTCAAAGTAATTGACTTTTACAGCGGTCCACAGCTCAGGCGGATGTACCGCTCACCCAGTGGTTTGCATGGCTAAGAGTTTTGCTAAAAATCTAGCCGGGCACTGGAGAATCAGATTTTGAATTTCTATGACCTGTCAGAGGTTTGACAAAAGCAATGCCGGCTGCTGCTTTACATTATTTTCACATTCTGAAGGAAAACAGCTTAATACTCCAGAGTCCTGCACATGGCTTTGAATATTTAGCGTCTGTTGCTGACATTTTGATGAGTGAAGTCTCTTGAGTCGCTCTGTTGAAGATTTGCAATATTGGACAGATATTTTCGAGCGCTGGGCTTGTGATGGATAGCCATTTTGTTCCTCACCGAATCACTCATTCTTCCAAACACATTTTATCATGGGACTGGAGTGTTAGACTAAATTTGGCTTCAGACTTTGATGCATTTGAATTTCACCGTCTTGTCTCTCACGGCTGAGGTAATTGCACAGTGTGCCTGTTTAGAATCCCCCATGCTTAGACTGCATAAGTAATACAGATCATCATTTGGTCCTTAGTGTTACATTAAAGAATTCAGGGAGTAGCAAATTGGTCTCTTTATGAGTTGGAGCGAAAACAGACATCAACATTTTTTTTAAAACATGTGTATTTCAATACAAACAAACATCGTTTAAAAAATAAAGGACTGTTTTTAAAAATAAAAAAAAATACAAATTTTAATTAATTTGGCAAAGTTTTCATGTATTATGTATTCTTCAATGATGCTCGAAACTCTATACAGTTACCCAGGAAACTACTCGATACTTGACACTTTAGCCCAAAAATTGTGTTTTACCCTGTTAAATTAACACCATCTATTACAACATTACAGACCGGCAGAGCTGACAACGTTAGCTGCGTAGCACCAATATTTACGCTTCGTTTTTATTATTAGCCACAAGCCATTTGCGAAATGATCACTGGCAAAAGGCTAATGTGGCTATTAGGCTATTAGGTAATTCTTAATTGTTAAATGGATAATGTTAATGTGTGTTAACGTGAATGAGCATCTAATCTGATAGTTGTTTTTTTTCCCCCAAAAGGGTTTTTTTAACAACCCTAGTTTTACATACAAAGGACTACAAGTTGTAAATGCTATGTGCACTATTACTATCAAATTCAAACTGAGCATAAAAGAAAGAAAAACAACAACTTGGGCATATAATCTGATGTCTTTTATCTGTGTCAGGGTTTTAAAGATTTCCAGAGGTATACATTTGTAACATGCCAGTCCTGACGTTGAGTTCAGTTTTCACTTTGGCTGATTCGTATATTCATTCGAAGAGCCAGAACTGGCAGCACAGAAGACCATTTTTTCTACTGTGCAACGGAAAACTTTAAAAAGAAGAAGAAATCCGCAGCAGATTGGGAGGTTAAAACCCAACCCCAAATGAACTGCAGCACATGTCCACCTAATAGAGGTGGGAATCACCATACATCCCACGATACGATATTATCACAATACTTAACGCACGATACGATATTATTGCAATTTTTTAAAATATTTTGCGATATTCAGATTCTGTACATAAAGGTAAACTTTATCAATATTCATTTTATCTAATATCAAAGTCTCACACTCAGTCTTTCTCTCATTTCAGTCAGTTTTATTGTTGACAAACTGAACGGTTTGTATTACAGTCTAGTCCAACTTAACTGAATGCAACCATCTGGTACAATTATAGCTATTCTGAACTATGCAATTTATGAAAACTATGCAGCCCATTCAGGAACTGAAGAATTTGAAAGTAAATTAAAACAAAATATAATTTTACATTAAATAAAAAAGTTTTAAACTTAATTAGAATAAAACATGTCTTAAATTAAAATAAGTAAACTGTCATGTTTATTGCTGCCATAAAAAAAGTTAAACACATTTGGACAGTGAAGGAATGTCAGGATTCTTGCTCAGAAAAAGGATCAACATGCTTTTGTAACAAAATATCGATTTCTGCTGTCCCTGTATCGATACATTATTAGCAAACAAAATATCACGATACTACACAGTATCGATTATTCCCCCCACCCCTACCATCTAATGCTGTTCATATCTGCATTGCTCTGTAGTTACAGCTCCAAAACACCAGTTGGCAGCGAGCTTCAAGCTTCTTTGGGTACTTTAAACAACCTTAACAGAATTGATGAGATCAGATCTCAGTATTTGATCTAGTAAGTGTTAAAGATTGTAAGTTTAACTAACTGCATCAACACAAAAGCAGAAGGCTTTGGAAGTCATTGAATTTAGATGGACACTGGGAGAGCAATGAAAAAATGTCTTGAAATAAATCAATAATAAACTGAACATGTTTAAGTTGATTTGCACGTTGGACAACATACTGCTACACTGTGATGCATAGTTACAAATCAGAAGCAGGACACTTAGTTCATCTGCACAGATTGCACACATGAATGGAAATGATTTGGGTTTGCAGCTGATCGATTGGAGCATCATTAGAACATCTGTTGTACTTTACCTTCCTCAGAGGAGTGTAAATTTGAAATGTCTTATTTGAAGCATGTCTTATTTGTCAAAAGTTTTTCTGGCTAAAAATCAATAACACTGATTCTAAAAAGACTTAAGTACAGAATCACTTAAAATAGATTTAATATACGTTTTGGTGAAAAGGGGATAAGGTCAGGGTATAACAGATTGATTGGGTCATAATAAGAGGTAAATACACAGGTAAGTAATGAATGATTATTGATCATATGACAGACTGTAGCACTATAGTTCTGTGCAGTGTTAAAAATTTACATTTCTATGCTAAACCTGTCAGTGAACTACACACTCTATTAAACCTGGATATATATATGAACACACAGGCTGTTTTTATAACTACAGCATAGCTATAGAACATGTAACAACATCCATATATGTACTCTGTCAGCGTGACATGATGAAATACTCCAGGACTTTATTCTCACCGAGTGACAGTTCATTGATCTTGTGGTTTATTATTCCCCGTGAAATTCCACCAAACTACCGTGTCAATGTTCATTTTCATTCATAATATCAGAAATGATAGTGAGATATTTACTAAGATAGTAACATTGTCCATGCTGCCCAAGTTAAGTGTATTTCATCCATCTATAGATTTTTTAAATTTGTGTGCAGGAAGTACCTTAAAAGAAACTCATTGGATTTGATTTAAGTTTTTATAATAATAAAAAAAGAATGTGACAATTATATAAGTACATTTGGAGTGATGACGACTGCACACATTCCTAAAACAAATATATGAAACACGCAAACTTTCTGTGTTCCTGACTATTTTAGTTGCGACATCTTGTTATGCTTTCTGATTGGACAGTAGTGTCATGTGACAGCGAATGCGTGGAAACATTGTATCGAGCAAATTTTACAAAAATTTACTTACTATTCAGGTTGCATAGTAAAAAACAAAAACGTACTTCTTGCGTAGCCAGTGGTGGTTGTGGCAAAGGAGGATGTGGCTGGTGAAGTCGATGAGGCTGAGCCTACCGATGCCATCCGAGACTTCTTTGCCCATGTCTGCTTCAGCTGCTCTGAACAGTGAGCGGGGCCTCTGACACCCTCATGACCCCTGCAGACCTGCAACCGAGAGAGGGACGGGGTTAGTGCTGTGGCATTAGAGCGAGCGAGGTCGGAGGTTAGGAGCAACGCTGTCACTGAGGTCACGTGGACTGACAGCAGTCAGGATGTCAGCAACTCTGGAATATATTGTGTTCCATGGAAGAAAAAACAAACAAACAAAAAAAACAGTAGAAGTGTGGCGAGTGTGTATTTCTGGGCCTATGCGTGCGTGTGCCCCATAAATAATGGATGAGCACAGCGACTGGGAGTGCGGTAGAGGCAACAAGAGAAGGCATCCCTGCCAACCTCGTAAAAACCAAGCATTAGGAATTCAGAGAGCAGCAGGGGAAGATAGCATTTCTCAGCTCAGAAATCCTCTGCCATTTGGTGCCACATAAATTTCAAATCGTCTAATGTACAATCTCTATTTTCGAGCAAATTCCTTTCTAGCTGAACCACAGGGTGAACCCGGCTGGGCAGACATCTGAAAACAACAACAACACAGCTGTGAAATATCGACACAATACCGGAGAAGAGAAATTGAGAATTCCAGCTGTATTACCGAATCAGTGTTTTTCCATGCACACTGCTGCCCTATTCGCTACGTTCCTCTTTTATATTGTGAAAATATGACCTTATCGGCTCACTTTGCAGGTGCAACTGCTAAATGAAGTTGCTAAACATCAGGTTACACTTGACGCCAATTACCATTTACATTTCAAATCAATATTCTAGTTATATTTGGTTGATTATTTTGTGTTTAAAATGTCAGCAAAATGTCAGAAAAGCAGCCATATTTCTTAAAGTTCAAGGTTCTGCGTTTTCATTTTTTTT